CTGATTGTCGTTGTAAGGTGATGAGGTGACCAATCGTAACTACGTAAGTGTATACCCACATATATGGGATTACAACAAAATCCAAACCATTAATTAACTCATGCATTTATTCTTCACAGGTGTATTCACGCAAGTTAAACATGGAATATTGTGTCTATACATGTAAAAAGCAACTATACATATGGTTAATCTCTAAAAAACCAGTCAATGCGACTATACAATATGTTGTATTTATTTGTAACAATTTGTAATGAATGAGAAAAGGCCACATTTTGTGAATCATCTAAAATTTATATATATATGTGTGTGTGTTTTTTTTGTTGACAATTGACTAGTATAGTTTCAGATAAAAAAAACAATAGCTGTCAAACGTCAGTATTTTTGAAAATGTTTCTACAATGATTGAAAATGTAGAAACGTAAGCGTGACACGTTAGCATCCAGGGTGACCATTGTTTTTTTGGTGTAAATATTATGCTACTTCCCAAGCGGCGTACAAAAAAAAAAAAGCTTTGATTTAATTTTAACAACGAAAAACGTTTTTCATGGAATCTCGCATCCGTGCGTATGTATGTATAGGTATCAAGGAAGAAGAAAAAGAGACGGACGAAGGCGCGACACTCGAATCACGTACTTATATTTACGTGAGAGCGAAGGGAAGAGAGGCTGATAGACGGGCGGATACGGGTGGATGGACACTATATATATAGTCGCGCGTACGTGTACGGCGATGACGATGGCGAGGAATGCAAGTTCGGAAATAAACTATTCAATAAAAAAAAAAAAGAAAGTATTTGCTATATGAATGCATTATTTTTGAGGAAACATGCGCCACCAGGTACTACTATTGTTTCAATTAAAAAAAAAAAAAAAAAAAAAAAAAAAAAAAAAAATTGAAATCAAAAGTCACAATTTTACTTGCACGGTGTAATACACGTATATAAGTTACCTGCGCTTTATACACGTATACATATAAATATACAAGTCTGTACCTATACCGAGGGGGGCTGCGTCCAACTAAATTTGGAAATCACGCGAGCGAGAGACTCGTGGTTCCCCGTCTTCCTCACGTGCACGTGTGCATTGTTGCTCGAGGAGTTGGCCGAGGGAGGAAGAATAAGTATATATGTATACATATATATATATAGAGATCGAGAGGAAGTCTTGCGCCTTTTATTCAAGCGTATACCTATAATGTATATAAACCGCAACCCCCCGCTCGAGCGTCACGCACAGATAATGCTTATATACATATATTATATATACTCCTATCGCACGTGCAACGCGTGCGTATGTGCGTGTTATTAAAGGCGCTATTGTACTAGCATTATCAAGTGCAGTATATATACAGCATAGCTCGTTAATGCGCATACAGAGCACGACTCTCTTTGCTTTGCGGGCACGTTATTCCTCGTGTACCATATATAGGCTTGCTTTGATAAAAATAATAAATCAATGTTTTGGCGTCATCGACGCTTACCTTACTCTTCGCCTTCTCCTTCGTTTAATCATTAGTGCTTGCACTTTTGTATATAGGATATGGGTTGTTTTTGCCGGTCAAGTGACCCAAAGAGCTGCCCATTGACGATCGACAACCCCAATTGGGAAGGTATCTTTCTCTCATCTCCGTTCGACGATACTCAAGTACAATAATTGTATGCTCGCGATGGTAACAACGCCAATGCAAATCGAGTCCGAGAAGTTGTACACTTTGAACCTGCAGCCCGTACCGATTATTCTTCCCCTTCGAGCTCGTAAATATACCCGCCAAAGAGGGGGGGGAGGGAGGGACCAAAAATAAATAATTACACAGTTATCGCTCGTTGGCCTCCCTTTGCTCTCGATCGAAATCCCGAAATAGCTATATCAACCAGAGTGCACACAACATACACGTGGGTATAGGCTCACATCTTATCCATATATATATATAACATAATATATACTGTGTAGCGATCCACTGCAGGGGAGCACTTGTATATATATATATAAATATGTGCTTATGAAGTGCAGCAACCCCTATCTGTGACACTGTTTCCTAGCTATATATAGCTACTCTTGAAAGGGGGAGTTAAAAGACCGCTGATGAGCACCCACTATACCTCCCGCAGCACAGTCAGACAGACACGGACAAGCGAGTTGGTAGGTGTAACGCATCAGCATCCATATACAATTTAAAACGCTGAATCCGCATTAACAGCACTACAATGGGATAGCTCAGTGCCGTGTAAAAGTACCGTGCAGAGAGAGAGAGAGAGAGAAATGGCACTCAGGGTCGAGAGAGCCGGCGCTCCAGATGTACACGTATATAGAAAGAGAAGGGGCTGTGTGGCGCCTCCCTTTTCCCTCTTGCCCTCCATATAAACTTGTGCTACTGTACATACACATAAAGAGCCAGAGGTAAGGGGACTCACTCTCTCAATCTCTTTCTCTTAAAGCTCGTTTTAATTAAACATTTCTTTTTTGCGCGGGCGTCGAACGGGGGGAGAGGGCCCAGAGATTAACCCAGATAAGTATACCGTGCCATACATTTACGCCGCTCTCTCTCTCTCTCTCTCTCTATATATATATATATATACATATATACGTATTTACACTCTAATGCAGGTGGTACAACTGCATGTATACGTATACTAGCTTGTACTTACGGAGCTCCGTTGCTGCAGCGGATTTACGAGCGGAAGAGCCGAGGTAAAGAGCCATGAGTGTTTTGCTTCCCCACCCAACCCCCTGTGACAGTGTTTGTAATGGACTGGTTAATTCGGTATGTTGCGTCGCGTCGCGGAGCCGGGGGGAAAAAAATACGCCCTTGACGCAACCTTTTTCTATCATCCGCAGCGCAAAAATTTTCCCATCGACGATCGTCCAATTTAATCCGTAAGATATACGCTCAGGGTGTGGAGATCTACGTTGACTCGGTTTGAGCGCAGCCTCTTTCCTCTGTGCCTATATATTATTATATACGTGTATATACCACTAGCATCCGAGTCTCCGGCATCTTCCAAAGCCGGTGACGCTTACCCGACTATATACCACCCCTCGGTGTAACTTCTAATCCACTTCGCGAGGACTTTGCAGTTTGCTTTACGCCTTTTTGCTGCTAGAGCAAGTACTGTATATTTTCGGGACGGGACTCTCGATCCCCCTCTCTTATCTGTTCCACGTCGCAATATTTTCAGCGGGTGGCTTTGCAAAAATCTTTACAATACCGGATGATGGAGGAGAAAAAAAAAAAAAAAAAATGATCAATTTGTGCGCGCATTGAACGTTGTAAATTATATTATATTGGTACGGACGTGCAATTGAGAGCGATGATACATTACGGTAACATCCCACTCGGCAGGAAGCTCGAAAGAAAAAACAAACAGACCGATGTATCCCTTGATACTCGAGTGTATAATCTACGTGGGGAGCGAACGCTCGCTATGTACGTATATAGACGCGATGAGCCACTCGAGATAATATACCCGCGCTCCCACAGTGCACTGCACAAATGTATAATATGGCACATAAGTGCAGAGATCAATTCTTCAAATGCCGTGCAAAGTGTGCCCTCGTGTATACATATACATACACATATTGTAGCGGTGCAATGTAAATTAGACCCTCTGTAGATGAACGAGCGAGAGAGACAGGAATGAAATGGTTCGAGTGCCCTGTACCCGCTAATGCCCGAGTAAATGTAACCATCACGCGTGTTTACTTGAACTTCACCCTCTTTTTTTCTAGATATCGTGCAAACTGCGCGTACACACGTACGCGTCCCGCTGACCCAGTGTTTGTTTGTTTGGCTCGTCTATCCTTGACAAATCGCGTGTATCTTCACCCAAAGTCACCCCGAGTCATCCGTCATCGGGTAGATCTTACTCATTTTCGCGGAATCAGAAAAAGAAAAGACAGATATCGTACATATACACTCGATGCCCGTGGATCGAGGACATTAGTTATACGAGGGGAGTGAAAAAAGGGGTCCTCGTTCCGCCACCAACCATACGAGGACTCTGATTTTCTCGCGCCAACTTTGCGTTGTAGTGGTCCTCCGTTCGGTAACCGTCCGATGAAAAGTGACGCGCGCATAGAAATCTCGCCGAAGGGGTGCCCGTGTGAGATAATCTTGTCAGGGACGAGGGGGGGGGGGAGGGGCACGCATCGCTCTACCCCATCACCCGCTACTCTTGACGCCCGTTTCATGATATACACGCTCGGGGTATATTAAAAACACAAAACGGACTTTGATTCGATCGGGGGGAGAGGCAGCGTCGACTGTATCGATATAGCTGCCTCGGAATGCGACAGTTCCCACTTACAGGCCAAAGGGGTGAGCTTTTACACATCACCATACGGGTATGGGCTATTTAATTTCGGCGCTCTCTCGACTCTATGTACACATTATATTATTACGTAGAATTGGAGTACACGGGCGTGGTTCTCGATCAATCAGAGATGATGGTGCCTCGCGTGCAATGGTTATTGTGTTTTCTGATCCGTCATCGCCCCCGTCAAATCAATCATACCCCTTCACCCCTAAAACAATGTTTTACGAGCGAACGGGCGGCGCGCGTAACTCGATATGGAAATCCGCGGGGAGACTAAACAGATGAGCAAATTTACAACATACTCTCGGCAGCGTTCGATCCATCATTAAACAGAGAGCCATCGAAGGGGGGGTGGGGTGGAACTGTACCGCACACGCACAATGTACTGCAACCCGATTCAGCATTCAAAACCCACCTCCGAGCACACGAGCTCAAAAATCGCACATGGACGCGAAGGCGTGTATATATATACATAAGCACGGAGGCAAGGCTCTTTGGGTGATAAACAAAGCCACCCCCTCGTGCACGCGTTTTCGGCGCGACCCCTCGACACACACACGCAACCGTAAAAAAATAGTGTGTGCGTGTGTACACGCGGCGCCTGCGCGAGCGACCGCGTGCCGGTAGCGGGTGGCGGGGTGTAGCGCCGAGGTCGCGGCCAGTGAGCCCCCGGCTGGTGCGCCGCTCAGTCGCTCCGCAGAGCTCGTCGCGCTCGGACACGTCCTTTTACATCGGGATCCCACCGTGTGTAGTACTGCTCTCGGAACTTGTCCTTTTTTCGCATCAGCACGGACTAGTGGCTTATTTTTTTCGCTTCCCTCGTCTGGCAACCCTTTCTTTATTTCTTTCTTTTTTTTTTTTTTTTTTACATTTTGTTTTTTCTGCAAAACCATTCGAGTGCCAAGAGACGGAGGAGTCTTACGTGGACGCTGACGCCGTTCCGGGGCTGCTGAGACTGCGGCCGTTCTTGCAGACTCTGGAAAGGTGCTTTTTTTTTTTTCTCCCTTCATCCCCATTTGTATGCCCCGCGTAGCCGTACTGCGGTATACACATCCCCCGTAAACGCCGTCCTCCGTTTTGTACTTTCTCCGTCTCGGGGATTAGCTCCGTTGATTTATACCAGGGGGATAAATATGATTGCCAGTTTCGGGGGGAAACATCACCCTCTCGAGAGAAGAGGGGCTTACCGTCGTTCGCACAAAAATTGAGTTTTCGTCATTTCTCACGTACGCGACCCACACGCGAATCCATCTCGATAAATCACATCGCTATCAATCAGCGCGCGCGTGTGTATTTTCCACGCCACCGAGATCGTGACGCGTGACGGGAATCGTTTCGTAGCTCGCGCCCACACCACGTCGGATCGTGTACAAAAATAACACATTTGCATTTACACCCCCCCCCCCCATCCCCTCTACGAGGTGATTCTCGTACCTGGTGTATCATGCGAGTGTTTGAAAAACAACAACAACAACAACAACAACAACAACAACAACAACGAGTGACTCAAACGAGCGATCTCGGAGTTTTTGCCGGCAACTCCCCCCCCCCCCCCCGAATAAAAAGGAGGGACTGTCGGTGAAAAGCTCGTGAGCACGTTTTTCGCCGGCACCCTTTCGCACAGCCAGCTGTACACGAATACACGATAGGGGATAGGCCGGTCGTTCTTCCCCGCGTGGAGTTTCATTTTTCGCGAGATCGATCCCTCCTGTGTGTATACCCTCCGACCGATGCTGACTCGTACACTTTTGGTATACATACACATACACACAAGTGCGACGTACATAGTGACGGACGGCTGGGGCGGGGGTTCTTTTCATCGCGGGCGGAGGGGAGTGGAGTTTGTTGGCCAAGAGATGGGTTGAAATTGCCACTGTGTGCGTGTGCAAGTACAGTGAGTTTCAAAGCGTATACAGATATATAGGTACGTGTGTAAATGTACGTGCCAAGCGGGAAGCGAGGGAGGATTACAGTGGCGCGTTTTAGGTCGTCTCGGGGAGAGAGAGAGAGAGACGATTGGAATTTTGTCGGGAGGGGATCAAATGTTATTAGTAAGTTTGATGCGGTAAGTGGTAGCCGGGCGTATACGACTGCCGGTTGAATTTATTCGATGATAAGACCGAAGGGATTTTAAGGGGAGAGGCAGATGGGACGGGGGTGGGATCGAGATTTCCTGGACTCGGATTCCTTTGTGCGAACTAATTGAGGATCATCCGTGATTAGGTTTGCTGCCGTGGGTGCGATAAAATATCTGTTTGATGTGTTGTTTGGGCTGTTTTTTTCTTTTTTATTGGATGTAGGTTTTCGTAGATCAAATCTAGGATTATTGAAAGTAATGCTGACGCAGGACTCGGATGAACCTGTGTAGATTTCGACTCAAATAATCAGTACAAGATTTGAGAAAAAACATCCAATTTCACGATTTTCATACTTCAAAGAAGAGCAGTTTATCCCTGAAACCCCTAATGTTTCAATTACCCTAATGTTAAATAATGTACCGTATAATAATCGTTGCGAAAAAGGACCAATGAAACCAATGAAGAGTCTTATTACATATAAAAAAAAAAAAAAAAAAAAAAAATCGTCAACCGCAAGAGCAACGCGAATCTAGTTGGCGTCAAGCGCCCACGGGGTACGAGTAAAGATTCCAAAAGTTCCAGCGAGTCTTTTTACATCCACGGAAGCAGGGGACGGAGGGTTACCTCAAACACACGAGCATCGCGTCCCACGCGCATACGTACAAAACGGTGGCTGAATTAAGTAGAGCGAGTTTTTGCGGGTAAGGCTCTCTCACTTCTTTTTCTTCGTCCTACCCCTCCCTCGGCGCTCGTACATCAAACTACGGCCCCGTGCAGCAGGTGCACGTGATGATTCGTTTTCTTCCCTCCCGCCCGTGCCTGCAAAAGCTCATACACACGCACACGTATGGCGTATCTCCCTTGACGACCCCCACGGGTTTTGGCTGAATATTGGCTCGGAGGGAGACGGCCAGTGCTTCGCCACCCCCCAACAACTTGGCGCCAACTGCGAGCAAGACAAACGCGCCGGGGCTGGATATTCCTCTCTCTCTCTCGTGTGTTGACACGTTATACACCCTGCACGGGTGGATTGATTTTCGGGCGTGTATTGTCCTATGCGCGCAACTGTACTTTCAATGCACTGGAGGAGCACTCGAAATGCCACGTGCGCCCGATTGGCTGGTAAATTACGTTGGACAATGCGGACCTGATGAACGATGATTTTTATGCCCCGTGAAACGATCGTCGCTTAAAAGTATGGGGTACAAGGGTAGTTTGGTCAAACGCCCTCTCATCCGGAATCGCGAACACCCGCGTGTACCTGTGCAATATACGTAAAATTTCACGTTCACATACAAGTACGATGTACATGCCCCGGAGCCGATCGGCCGAGGAAAGTGGAAAAAACAAGAGGCAGTTATGGGGCTTTAGCTTTGAAGGGAACAGCCGATCGTACGGTCCCTTGTTCGCGATTTTTCTCGATAGTTTCGCGCTTTTATATATAGCCTCCGCGCGAGTCGAAAAAGAATGGAGAGAGAAAAGAGAGAAGAGAGTAATATCGGCATAAAACCCCCTCCTTGTACTGCTCCTTAATGTGATTTCCGCTCACAAAGAAAAGACGGCGCCGGGAATATAAAGCAACCCACCGGCTGTGGATCGATACGTCCTGTATATGTATATGTATACCCTATAGACGCGCGAGAGGTATATTGTCGAATATATATACAAGAGCTCGTGTAGCGAAGAAGAGGAGTATGACGAGAAGGGGGGAGGGGGACTTTTGCAACGAGATTACATGCACACGTGTCGCGGCGAACTCCTCTTTGACGCGTCGTAAATTTTAGCTATACGCGAGTGAGAGAGCTGTAGGACCTACCTATGCACACGTATAGGCTCTGGTGTGTCTGCCAGCTGGCCCCCATTGTTCCTTCCTCGAGCTCAACTTGTCGTCGACGCGAACACATACTGCCTCAATGACGAGGCTCTCCACGTATAATTGGCCAGGATCAATCTGTACAGCTCTTACGTGTAATCATACTTTTCGACACGAGACTTGCATAAGATTATCAAAGTGTCATATGCTATACAGTTAAAAGTGAATCTCTGATGAAAAAAAAAAAAAAAATCCTTTTAAACGCAAACATTGGAGGGAATGGAAAAGGGTGTTTTCTGCACGCGGTCGCGGGGTGACGATATCCCGGATGATCTCTGCAGGGAAAAGGGGACGAGGGCTCAAAGGGAGCGGATAAAAATTTGTGCGCGCGTTCAGCGGTCGTTTGCCTCGCAAAAAATATAGATCCCAAGGGCCGAAATTTGAGCACAGCTAGTGGATTTTGCTGAGGTTTTTTTTTCTTTTTCTTTTTTGTTTCGAGAAACCCTTTCAAACGGAATGATCGGACTCTGGTTTATACGCGCACAGGAGATATGGAAAAGTGAGAGACCAAAGGGGGTGGGGGTCGACACGGAGCTCGAATGTCAACGAGACCGAGTCTTACGTGCCACGGGGAGTTGGAAAAGGAGAAAGTGTGCATGGGGGTTGGGGGTGAGAAAATACAGGCAGGGGTGGGCTTACAAAAGCTCTATTTACATGGACGGCACGGAAGCCCATTTTCACACACATACGGACGAGTCGGACGGGGGTAGCGTACCGAAACACCTTTCTTGCGGACGTGTCCCTTTACCGGCTCTGCGTACGGTTCGGGTTTTGTGCGAAATGCGATCGGCCTGCGCGTGACAGCTACACGGGCATTGTTCGCCAGCTGATGCCGTCGTACCTGGTTTGCTCATTTGAAAGGAGACTTGCACAGAGTACCGGGGTTTTGTCCGACTCGTAATGTTACAGAGAGACAGTAGAACATGTACATACTTCCACAAAGCCACACACCCCTAAGCTAAGGGTGTTTTTTTTTTCTCTGCTTATTTTTGGATTTATCATGTGAGCGCAAAATTCAAATGAGAAACGTTTACGTAAGGTGCCAATTTAACCCTCTCCTCTCAAGTTAATGACGAGCGAGGAGAAATTAATGTGGAGCTGATATGTTTGTTGCCTCATTTGGTTCCAAAGGAATCTGATGATGTATTTCACCGAAACTTGTTTTTCTACCCCCGAACCACGGCATTGTACCCGCTTTAAGAGCTCGCGTATTTAATGCTTCAGTCCTTCTCGTTTTTGTAAAATTACAGTTATATGGTCTTAGCCCCAGGGGGGTGACGTTTTTATCCTCGTAAACGAGAAAAAGACCCGCTCCTTCTTGCTCCATTTGACGGGATCTTGAGCTCAGCTTGCACCTATATACACCGCTCGTCTGCTACTCCCGAGGTAAAAAAAAAAAAAAAAAGACTAATTTCTACCGTAATAGTCGCTCTCTCACACGTTAATTTTAACACGACTCTCGGGGGTAGCCAATCAGCGTGTATCAAATGCCGTTCAATACTCCCTTTCTCTCGAGTTATTTTCTCCCCCCACGGACTACGTACAATGACAAAGCACTTTGAAATGTTTTTTCCTCGCCAGTGGGGCTCCGCATCTCTGCTCTTTGAATGGAAAAATTCCTCTCTCTCCCTTGGATGGCAAAACTTTCGCATGTACCTGCCCGGGCGCGCTCCGTCCGTCCGTTTGACCCCGTGAACTTTATAATTGAGTGCAGAGCATGAACTTTATTTCGCTGAACCGGCGAGTCCGAGAATTTTATTCTTTTGTTGCGGACGAGCATGGAAAACTCATTAAACGCGACTCTGCAGTTCGAAAGTCATTATAATTTTCCCATCGCATCGGGGATGAAGTTGTGCGTCGGATGTTCCATGTTTGCTCGCCAAAATGAGTTTTTTTTCCCCCAGCTTGTATCACGCAGTATCAATGCAAATAATGAATGCAAGGGGGGGGGGGGAACAGATGAATTTCCAATAAAAGTCAATTCCAGTTTTAATTAAAAGCACAGCTGCCGGGGCACAAGGGGCATAAAAAAATCAGCACTGCCGTTCGATAGCTTCAATACGTGTATCCCTCACCTTCGCAAAGTCTTGATTTAATGGACTCCTCCTCGACGGAACCAGAGCGACTTTTCTTCTCCCCCCGAGTTCCCGATAATTTCTTTTATCCGAAACAGGTGGTTATAGAAGCAGCGGCTCTTCTTCGTCGTCGACTCTGCCCCTTTTCCCACCGGCTGATCACGAAACTCTTAGCCGGCCACTTTCGTTATCTTCCCGTATAATGAGTGTTTAAAATTCACTCGGGGAAATTTATCGCGCGGGAGCTGCACGGAATTTTCTTGTACGTCCCATCACTCGCACCCCGCCTCATCGACAAGTTCTTTTATTATTCAGCGATTAGCATGAAATTTTCCAAGCAAAGTGAAAGAAAGGGGGGGAAAAAAAAAATTCAATTCCGCTAATTGACTTACTCGGCTACTTTTTTCTTTTGCATAATACACACTGGCACGGTTCAACCGTCCCTCTTTCGAGCGGCAAAGCTGACTCTCTCGGCCAGATTGATAACCGTAGATAAGGAGATTCTGTCCTTTTCGCGCGATAAGGGCCCTAGAGATGTAGTATACCAGAGAAAAACGCAGTAGCAATTAACACCGCAAACACATAAAAATCTTACTTATTTACTTGCAGACACACCCGCTCGAAAGAAATGTCGAAGACACGAGGGGTGAGCGGCGCCGTCGAGGCAAAGGGCTCGCATCCCAGCAAATTGTCGGGCCGGATGTGATGGAGCGTTGCCGTCAAAAAGGATCACAATGATGGGACCTCGTGAGGCGCAGGGCCAACCAAACAAGCGATAAAGAAAGAGAGGGAGTCATTGCGCGGGGCACGATGGTCTCGGGCTGGTGTCCGTGCGTGCCCCTGGGTCGCAGGGAGTCCTCCTCGAACCAACAGCCGCAGCAGCAAAAGTCAAAGCGCGCCGGGCCGTTTATCGTCAGTGCCGCGGCTGATCGCACCGACAGGGTGCAAATGTTCTACCACGAGAACCACGGCAAGTGCTGTAAAAAGCTCCTCAGATACAACGGTTACCCCAACAAGGTATGTCATTTGTATGCACGCGTTTCCGGGAGGTGTAATGGTATGAAGAAATTAATAAACGAACCTAGCCTCGCGCGAGAGCGAAGCTCGTAACTCAAAATTAAATATCAAGAGCCGCCCTATACCGTGTGGCGCAGACTCACTAAAAAAAAAAAAAAATAAAAAAAAAACTCTGTCGGAGCGAAAATTCCCTGCCTTTCATCCCCGGCTGCACCACCGACGCTAATGGAAAAAGAGAAATTCTCGGAGCTCCTTCATATTATGCTCGTTTCGTGTGAAATTACGACTATATCCCGCGCGTTTTTACCATACATTCGGCTTTGTGCTCGACCGACGTGGCCTCTACCAACAACCGCTCGCTCGCTGTACAAATATCATCCGTGGTGTGAGTCTCTCGTGTAAAGTAATGAAACGTAACTCGATTTCGACCGAACGAATGGGGGTCGTGCGAAAAGCACACGCACGAGGGGAGGGGGGAGCAGAGGCGAGAGGAGGAGTTGGTAAATTTTACGCGTGCAGTATGTAAAATCGAAAACGAAGTGGAAAATTCACGCCGGAAGGGACGCGAATCTGCATAATTCGCCGCGCGCGTGTCTGTACCCATAGTTGAGGGGAACCAAGAAGAGGCGACAATCGCTGTCCTGTGGGAGGTAAAAGAAAGAAAAAAAAAAAACATTAACTAGTGAACGGTACTTTGGCTACTTTTGGAAAAAAAGGCGATTTGAATCGTTCAACGAGGTGTAGTCAAGAGTCAACTCTTGTCCAAAATTCTTATTCCGATGACCATTTGCGCCATGGCTTTGTGCAACATTAATGCTCTCTTTATCTACCCAGTAAGACCAAGTCTCAAACCTTCTCTTACGTGCGCCGTATACCAAATACCAGATTGTCTAAACCATATCATACGACGAATCAATAATGGAAATTTGCTACACCGCAATTGTTCGGATCGTTGGTTAAGTTTGAAACAATAGTCGTTGTCAGTGACAAACGGTACAAGAATATTCAATTCGCTAATAAGTTTGATTCGTACGCATCGAAGGTACATTTTCATTCCACCAAATTCAGATGGTCATTATAAAGTAAGATCCTTCAATCAACACACAATGCCTACGATACTCTCCCGGTAACTTTGATCTAAAATTCCTCACCTCGCGCGAATAAAAAATTCCTCATCGACGACAAAGTACCTCCTACGACTCGGTTCGATGCACTTTCCCCAGGAAAAAAAGCCCCATCACTTTACTTTTTTTTTTCTCCTCCGACGCTAATCTTATCCTAATACTCTTTCCCTCCTGGACCCCCATGGAAAAAGATATACCGGTATACATCAAAAGGAGCTTCCATAGAGGTTGCAACGGTGCCTGCAAAGTGCCGAGGCGAAAGGGAGGAAGAGGGAACGGCCAAGTTTTCTATTCGTCGATGTCTAAAAGCGCAGGGAATATTAAATTCCTGGACCGATAGTCTCGGGCAGTTTTTCCAAGAGTAAGTACAAGTAGCCGATATTCAAAAAGCTCGGGGGGTTAATTCAGCCTCGGTTGGCAGCAACAGTGGGGTAACACAAACACAGTATAGGGACCGACATGGGGCAGGGGTGGGCAAACTATGTCGTAGAGGGTACATAGTTTCGGGTTTTCAATACCCAGCCATTCAAATCCACGTACACACGAGCACACACATTGAGTGAGACGTAGTGAGTGAGGGTCACGGTGTACGTATATGTGTAGATAAAAGTTCGACCTGGCCTCCCTTACCCCCCTCTGTACATATATACACGAAAGAAGAGGACTCGCGGGCGAGTAACGAGAAACTTTTCGAGGCCCCAACTTTAACCCTCGAGCCGAAGAGTGTAAAGGGCGAAATTGCATTTTATCGGCAAGCTCCGGGAGCTTCTATGTGTACCTATTACCCCGACCGTCTTTTGATCTAGCCGATATCGCCGAGGAGCTATCTCCGACCCTTAGGTAAATCCATTCGGATAACTGCAGTCGATCTTCAACTTGCCATCTCTCTCTTCTTCTTTTTTTTTTTTTTTTTAACCCTTTTCGCCGCAAACGAGCGGTTATCGAGTACTTTTACTTTGCCGAGTGCGCACTCGAGGCTACACTACATACCTACACGAGGAGAGCACGTGTAACGCACAACCCTTTTTTTGCTCCCCATACGTGGGTGTGTGTGCATGCGGTGGTGGTGCGCGAGGGAGTATTAAACCTCGATAGTTTTTCCCCGACACCTATCGCCCCGCACTTATACGTATATGATCCGAGAAGGAGTAGGGGGTGACGATTAATTCGAGGGAGTCCGTGCAGGGTACCCACGGGCGCGGTTGTAATAAAAAGTTTCGATGGATTTCTCCCTCTCTCTCTTGGGTGGCGAGGCATTAGGGAAACCATTACCCTGTATTGGCCCGATAAAACTTCCGAAGAAGGCCAGATAGATTAGCCCGGACCCGCAAAGAAAAAAAAAAACTATTTCGCATTTGGGCGGAGGGGACGGTTACAAATTTTCAATGAAAAATTTACTCCCGGGCGCAAACTCTCGGGTCGTGTCCTGATTTTTGAAACAAGATTCCGATCGCTCGCGTATATGTATGTATACACCTGCCTGTGCGCGGAAAGTGGCTCGAGCGCGGTTCACCTCTCGAGGGGATACTACGTGGCTTCCGGCTGATCTACTTCCGCTCCCTTTGGGGGATGCTCGGGCGACTGGCCGTGTAAAGATCTGTCCTCCAGGATTTTGGTCGCCAAGATTAACCCCTCGAAATTGCGCGGTTGCGAAAAGGGAAACCTACTCCCGCGATGTATTACATGTTGCGGTGAGGGGGGGGGGAGGCGTTTTAATTGAAATCACGGCGTGCATTATGCTCGGGGGAATTTCACGCTAATGGAACAACAAAAAATAGGTTGTCAACATGATATGTATATCGTGGCCAAGCAGTTTTTTTTTTCTTCCTTGGTCTGATTTGATTGGCACGTGTCGCCGAAGTAGAGGAGGAAGAAAAAGAAGCGGCGTAGGAAGGAGGGCCCGTACAAAGTCATTGGGAGATAAATCGACTCGTTATCCGCACAGCCATTGTATCGCGCGAGTGTACGGGTGGGGGAGAGAAAAGAGACAAAAAAAGGATAACCCCCGTTCGAGTCACGTTTCGCGGGAACTGGGCTAATGCCTCCGAGAGTTTCCAAACTCTTCGGCTCGTGGAATTTCCTTTCAATAACCCTCCATTGTACGCAGTCGCTCCGAGTCATTTGGAAGCCACTGCCGTTTTTTCTCTCGCACGAGGTGGACTCTTCTTCGTATTCCACGGGGAGGAGCCCACCTGCTTTTCCTCCCTTCCGAGAGATCCTCGGGTCCAGCATATTGCACTGTGGTTTGAAATTACCGAGTTTTTTTGTTTTATTTCAAATCTTTCGCGTAGCCCACCGGTTGGAGACAAAAACCACGCAAATCGAAATTTTCGGGGTCTCTGGTCACCAAAAAGTCGTCCCGTCAACTGTTAGCAAAAGATTCTTGGTATGAATAAAATACCGCGAAAAAACCTCGATCCTTCCCCCTCGAACGTCATCCGAAAGTTTCGCAAACGATCGAAGCCATTAGGCGCTCCATAAGGGATCTGGGGGAGGAGAAAAGCGCCTTCCCATGCTTCCTTTTTTCCCCTCACCGTCACAGCCATTATGGACAAGCAGAGTAAACTTATCCAACGAAATTTTGTTCTCCAAAAGGAGGGGGTCCAGTTGAATTTTTACGAGCACCCAGGGTCGCCTCGGATAACTCACGTATACGGGTATCAGGTCGCGACGTGCCGTACGGAGGGTCAAAGTTCACGGGCTATCTATCCGTGTCTGGCCGCTCGTCAATTTGCTCCGGGATTTTGTAGCTTATCCCCTCACTTGCACCATATACCTATAGATACGTTAAGCTCGCGAATCCAATTGGAAGGGGAAATAAAACGGTTTGATTTCAACGAGCACTAGAATCGAGCGTATTTCAATGAATATACGTATTCATTTTTTTTTTTTTTTTCGACGATTTTTTAGAATGAAACAAGGAGCAATAAAAGAGTATCGCGCGCATTAGCTCGGAAATATCGAGCGTGAATTCGAACAGTCACGAAAGCACAGCGTTTGCATCGTACACGCGCGTAAAAATATCGAAGCTCGATAACCCGAGTAGACGAGCAAAAGTTAAGCCAAGCATCATTTTGTGGGTATGTTTATTATACAATACACGATATCCACCAAAGTCGAGTGTGTCTATATACACGTGTACCAACGTGTGCTCCCTACCGCTTTCGGACGAGAGCAGTTTATTGCTGTGATTGATCGGAAGCCAGCTGCCGCCACATCAGAGCCACCCTCTCGAGCCCAGAAGGAAATCATCCCCCGGCAAATTGAAAGCTTCGCTAACGAATGCCCGCCCACCCTCCTCGAGAGCTTTTTTGCATTTGCGATGGAGACGACCTTAAAGGGGAAAGGAATTTTTTTTTCGTATAGAGAGGCACTTTTGATACTCCACCGTATACATACGAACAGATGGGCAAGCAAGAGGGATTTTGGGAAACAATGGTTCGAATTTTCCCGTTTCCCGGCCCCTCTCCGATCCGCGGCAGTTGTGAAAAACTGTTCTCCCCATCACTTTGTCCCCGTTTGCGATATTTTACAGCAAAGAAGAACACCCGTACGAGAGCATCTCCTTTTAGCGTCAGTGCAATTTTTTTATCGCGTGCGCCCGCACGTAATGCGCTTAGCGTTAACGTGGAATCTGACGCAGCGTAGTAGTTTGGGAGGGGGGGGGGAGCTATATTCTTCGCAGCGGAATCCTACACGTAATTACAATGTGTGCTAGCTCGGGCGTTTTTCACGAGTTATATTAGCGTATACCTATAAGGTGTTGGACCTCGAGGTAAAAACAACGACGTGAATGCAATTTGCATCACCCGTTAAAAGAGAGCGTGTAAGTTGGCGTTTATTATATACAATACATTGAGACGCGCGCAAGAAAAA